CAAATAGAATATACGGAAGATAAGAAGTTAAATATGAACGTAGGAATGAGAAGAGTCAAATTGAGTAATGGTGGAATACCGGGAGTATTTAATTGCCGTTTTGCCAATCCAGCTGTAGTAAATCCGAATCGCAAGAAGAAAAAACCGACAACGTTCGTACCTCCGCCACCACCGCAGTCTCAAACTGGCACTGTCACAACCCCAATGAATACGGTGACTGAGTCGAAACAGTGGCTTGGTGTAAATAGTAATTCACGTCAATTAATACCGTTTTGGAAGAAATCTCTAAATTCCGGCATACTACAGAATGATCATTCAAACGAAGAAAAAACTAGAACAGACGCTGCGACTACTGGCTCTCTGAGTGTGAATTTAATAAGAGAGAAACTCCAAGAGAAGAAACAACAGCAATTAAGAGAATTAAGAGCAATTCAGGAAGAGATAAAAGAAGGGAAATTATTTCCTCCGCCGTCAGCTTCAGCATCCTCATTCTCATCATCACCTGCATCTAATCAACAGCCACCGCCTAATACGAAGTTACATACTTCTCCTAGTTCTCCCTTATTCACGTCTGAACCATCGGTGGGTGATCAGAGTGGAGGAGTAACCTTATCTTCGTGGCCACCAGTGAAAATGCACTGTCTTTTACCTCCGCCACCATCGTCCTCGTATTATCCAAACGTTCATCCTTCAAATTCATGGAGGACAACGCAAAGAGAAAGAGCGGATACTCCGGAAATTTTGCTTGCACCACGCTGTCTTCCTCATCATTATTCTCACTGGACACCGTCTTCTCATGTCAATTATCGGTAATTAAAACTAAAACGAAACAGATTTCGCAAAAATTTTGTTCGTCAAAGTCAAGAAATTATTGAAAAATCAATGAGGAAATTAAGAAATGTATTGATTGTTAAATACATTATAGCATGTTTTGTCTATGTTTCAGTCAAAACGGCGGAGAAGAAAGTTCTAAAGGCGAGGGTGACGTAGAAGGAGAACTTAGCGATATGGAAGGCAGTCAGATATCACTGCCTCGAAGCTATACTCTGCCACGTGAATTTAAGTATCATCATCCAAATAACACTGCCAGAGAGCGACGTGTAGGAAATAATAAAGTTCCAGCTTCACGTTTTTATTTACCTTCTACCAACAGTTCTGACGGTGTGTCCTGCTTAAATTTGTTGGGATTAAATCTTATGAAATGCACTTACATGTACATACTTATTTAACATCTTTCCAGGAGATGTAGATAGTGCGGACAATGAAGAAGAAACAGATTCTGAAGTACATTATCGTATGAAAAATAATCATGGGTGCAACAATCACAACGAAACGCAGCTACAGCAGCAACAACGGTTTGCTTTTGAAGATAATAACAAAAACGAATTCTTAAATTCAGATTCTGCAGCGACTGTTATAATGGCTGGAAATTATTTAAATAATTCTCAAGGGCTACTTCGACCAAGTCAATTATTTCGAAACAGGGTTAAACACGAAACGAAGCTTTGAAGCTTCTGTCATTATCGATGTAGTATTTTAAAAATTGTATAATAGCTAATTGAAGATTTAAAACAAAAAGACTGTACATGAGATCTATTTTTATAAAATTACTCATTTCTTACACGCGAATTTTCTAATATTTTTATGATGTTAACATTCCTAAGGGTTAAATATTAACCGTAATATTTGTACATAAAACAGGGATGACGTAGACTTATTTTGATAATATTGCATTTGTTCCTTGTAAATAATGATACAACTAATGAATTTAAAGCACATTGAACAATTAGATATTTATTTTTACGATTCAACTATATACGACTTGAAAAATTTTAATATTTTAATGCAACATACAAATTCTTTTCTAATAAATTAATTAATTCTCTTATTTGTATTTTGAATGAAAATACATATGTAATTTAAAATCCATATAGTATTAATTACTTTACATATACATTACTTTGGAGGGATGAATTATGTAAACAAATAAAATATTTGAACCCATTATATTTATTTTATATTAAAAAAATATATATTTAAATTTTACAATTGTAAAACAGTGATTAAATTATTTCAGCCTCTTTTCTTGGTAAATAACGAATTAACAAATGATACTCTTCATTAATTATTATTAACTTATTAAAGCTTAAAACATTGAATTTACAAATAATTACAGAAATATATAAATATCGAAAAATGATGTTTTTTGTACTATGCATGGTATAAACAACTGTCTGTAACAAAATCATCAGAAAATACTTCATATAAATACCTTATGAACTTGTATATTGTGCATCAATGTCAGTTTCTCAGAATCATTGCATAAATTGACGATTTCAAATGTACAGTAAAAACGAAGAATTGTATACATACAATTAATTAACAAATTACTTAACAAAAATATGTTATTTCAAATATTTCATGTTGCATTGTATATATCCAGTTTACAGAATGATTTCGTTTTTAAAATTCCTAGTTAGTTCTTTGTGCGGTAATACAATCGAATTTAATACGATTTTCTCTGCTGCCAAACGTACGCTGGTACCTAAAATTTAAAATATAAATAATAAAAGTACGTGCTCATTTTTTTTCTTTAAATAACTATTACGAATAAACTATTTACCAAGGATTGTTATAGAAGGATTCAATTTGCCGTTAGTGTTAAACAAAGGTAAATTTTCCATTTTGGCAAATGGTTTGTCAGGATTGGGATCACACGGTGTTCCTTCTATTCTTGCCCACTCTCCCACATAACTGCTTTTCCCAACTATACTGTGTAATACAATAGAATGTGCTTGAATATGAGCATTGGCTAATATAATTGATTCCCTTATTCTAACACCACGGGCAATGATAGCATTTGGACCTATGCTGACATTTGGACCTAACTGCAAGTCAAGTATTGTTTTATAAAGTTTGTGTTGAAATAATGTTCCATTATTCTCTAAGAACAAAACAAATGTTTCTTCACCACTGCTGTTTCATGAACTGTAGCGGAAGGATGAATATAAATATCACCAATGATCTGACAAGGTCCATTAACTGCAGAAGCAAGGCGGTCTGGATGTTTTGCTTTGTATAAATTCAAATAGTGACGATTGGCATATATAGCAGAACCTGCAGTCTTAACTTGTGACCACCACTTTAAAACAGGTAAAGCAAATAAACGACCAGTTCCAGCTAGACGCATTAATATATCTTGCTCCAGTGATATATGAGCTGGGTCTTTACTGTTACCATTGAATTGCCTACAAAGTAATGTTTCATCAAGATTCTTGTATACACATAACATTCCAAGAAAACTTTTGGAACATCTTACATAAAGTTCTCCTGACTTTGACCTGCATAAAAGGCATCAGCCATAGTTTGAAAAATATCTAAGGAAGCAAGATAGATGCCACAATTGATTAAAGTTGAAACAAATGTCGATGGCTTCTCCACGTAGTGAGCAACTTTTCCTTTTTTATCAAGGACCATGCATCCAAAATTCAAAGATTGTTGTCTGGTTGCCTCAGTGGCCATGATAGTAAGCAATGCTTGTTTCTCTTTATGATACTCCACTATTTCTTGCAAAGAGAAGTCAGCGCATACATCACCATTCATCACAAAAAAGTACGTAGGTCCACCAGAACGTATTTGATCACGAAAATGATACAAGCCACCAGCTGTTCCCAATGGAGTGAATTCTTGAAGATACCTAATGGTTATTTTATATATGCTTATCATTTCCTGTATAAATTGAGACAAGTCGCTTGCGAGGTATGATCCAATTATTAATATTTCACTAAGATTGTCCACTTTAGAACATGCTTCAATATGGTGTTGTATTACTGGTAATCCAGCAATTGGAAACAATGGTTTTGGTATATCTAATGAAAGAGGCCTAAATCTAGTACCTAAAAAATATATTAGAAATATATTTAATTTACATATTGTGATAGTTTATACTATCAGAGATATATAAAATTACATTTAAGGTTATGTTTCTGTGTTGCTTGTAACAAGCATGTTAGAAATATTCATTTTATGCAAAATACGAACCTTTTGATGGACCTCCAATTAATATAACAGATTTTAATATCATCCTTAAAAGTAATACAAAATTTCACAATTTTTTAACTTAAACTTAAAGCAATCCTTCTGCTACAGTGATAAAGTTGATGTGCTGATAGGTTTAGGAACCCTTTAAAATTTTTATAAATTCCGCTTTAATAAGCAGGATAAGATAAGAGTTAGAATTTTCTGACAAATGATATAGACGAGCAAAATTTATATGATTATGAAATAAGCATAAGCGATCATTTCATTCTTGTTTAAAAATAAGAAACCATATATGTATTAAAAATTTTTGAGATATTTATAAAATAAAATTATATGAAAATATAATATATTTGCAAGATATAAGTAAATAAAAAAAAAGTTATCATGACAAAAAATGCTTCAAATCTGTCTTTTATTTACTTCTATAAAAAATATATTATAAATTATAAAATAGAAATTCAACAATATAAAAAAAGATTATTATATTGTATACAAACTATAAAAACAACTTATTATATATACAATATATTGTATATTGTATAAACATTCTGAGCTTAAAAAAATACTTATATAAGACCATCACTGACAAGAATAAAATGGGATAATAGTTCATTGAAAATTCATTATAAAACCACCAACATGAGTGCTATTATACAAAAATATATTATCACTTGTATTTTTAATTAAGATAGGATACTTCTTGGATATATTATCAATTTAGCATGTAACTGTTATCTGTAGGTCTGTTATACACAACTTTACATTACATATTAGGCAATATCCAATTCAAGAACTTTATAGCAGCTTCAAATCCAAGAAAACATGCTGCATTTGCTGGAAATGCGCGAAGCATCACTGGTACACATCCTTTATATAATGCCCTTGGCCCCTCTTCTTTCATCAAAATTACGAAGACGTCACGAATCCCATTTTTGAATGTGCCATCTGGAGCTAAATAAAATAAGTAAAATTTTAATATTTGATATTTGCAATAACTTCTTAAGTCCCAATGAGATTCATGAACATTACTCGATATTTAATAATAAATTATAATAACACGTACCACTTTGTAAACGACTTTTCAATACATCAGGTGGCATTCCAACAATCCAATTTGCTATACCAGCGAAACCACCAGCAATAATTGTTTGTAATATTCCTATTTTGTTACCGTCGGGGGACATCCACTTTTTCAGACATTCGTACGTCATAAAATACATCCCACTAGCAGGAACATCTAAATATCAGATACAAAAAATGATTAACAAGATGTAGAAATATATCTGTGAGAATTAAAAAATTCAAACGTATTTATATGAACGTATGTGAAAGCTGAAAAATGATCAAATTTCTACCTGAATGTACATAATTGAAACATCATGGAACGTTATTTATAATTATAAGGCAAAAATAGTGTGTGTAGGTTGTTAGATAGGAAGCATCCTGTCTGATAGGGCGCATCAAGGCAGATAGATAACAATTAACAAAATTCAGTTTCCTTCAAACCAGCGTACCAACATCGGTTTTAAGATCTGCTTTTCTTCAATACCAATTATGACGATTATTCTAATACTTGTTTTCACTCTACTGGTACATAATTATTCTCTTTATTTAAAACAAGAAAGTGTAAGAGAAAAGTATTATTCCTCAAATAATATTCTCTTTAAGTTTGATAATTTCTCATTCTGTGACACAGAGATGATTAACAAGGCCATTGATTTACTATGTAAATTCAATAAATTAATAAAACAAACGTATGTTTAGAACGAGTGCTTTGGGCAAATAGTTGATATCGGCTACGTTTGGGAAGTAAAATGTCCACCAGGCTGTTCATGCGAAGTACAGAAATTTGCTGATCTACCTTTACATCGATGGATCAAAACTAGCCAAGATCAGGTATGAGAACCAACTGTCTTTCTTCTCTGAAATTCAATGATCTCTTTTCTCTCGACAGAACTTGACTAACGATGCCAATTACGAACTTGGATTGAGCGCAGATCACTCTATAATACCCGAGTTTTTGAACGTGGCAATTTGCGTTATCGCTGAAGATTATGAAGAACTTTTGGACAAACTTCCGTCAGACATTCAGGTTGATGTTACAAAAAACTGAACAGCGCAATTCTTCGCTTTGCTCGAAAATAATATATACATGCTTGTGTCTTAGGTGTTTACAATTCTTGAATCTGGCATGGGAAACTTTGAGATTCTCCTGCAATCTACAACATTCCAACGTTTTACAGATTTAATATCTTTAGACATTCAGGGCATTGATTACGAATCTACGAAGAAAAACTCGAACATTGCACAAAGGAAACAAGGAATCATTTTATCTGTCGATTCGTTGTATCCATTAGGATTAAACCTCCTTTATTTAAACCTGGAACGAGTCAGATTAACAAGCCTAAGTCCAATGAGAAAGAACAAAGTCAATCTTGTGATTAAACCGATGAATACGATTGCTGATGACGGAAACAGTAATAAACAACTACTAAATAATATCACTCAAAGTACAGGGCATAGATTGATATTTCTAAGTCAACAAAATAATGGACAAAGTGATGACAAAGAAATACTTCCTTACGACGTGTACAAACAGGAAATGGAAGGTTATAGAGAAACTGTTGGACTTTTCACTGGTCTAGGAGCTTTAACTCATTTAAGAGTTTATGACTGTGATTTAAAAGACATATCGTGGCATATGTTTGATGGCTTGAATAATCTTGTTCACCTTTCATTAGAGAAGAATAGCTTGAAATTCATTCCAGAATTTTGCTTTTATGGTACCCCAAATCTAAAAATATTGTCACTAGCAAGTAACCAGTTATTAACACTCAAGAGTGTAGATCTAGCTGGCTTGCTGATGCTGGAAGATCTTGATTTGAGGGGAAACAATCTAACTTTCTTGTCAGAATTATCTTTTCCTCCTTTCCCAATGCTGAAGACTGCAGATTTTCGAAAAAATCCTTTGGATTCCATATTTCCAAGGTACTCTAATACACGTATACATATTTCTAGCATGTGTAACAGTTACAATAAGATGTGAAATTAACATGAATGTCCTCTGACTTTCAGTACCTTTGAAATCATGAATACAACATTAAAGCTTTATTTGGGAGGCGAAGGCTCAAAATTATATTTACAAAAGAATTCTTTTCTGGGACTGTGTCGACTTCAAACCTTGCATCTGTATAATTTAGAAATACCAGTGTTGGAACGTTTTGTATTTCAAGGAATGCCTGAGCTGTTAAAATTAAGAGCTCGGGGAAATATTTCGAGCATCGATTTCGATGCGTTTGTAGACTTAATCAAACTGGTAGATCTTGATTTAAGTTACTGTCACATTCGTAAAATATCCATGGACGCATTCTATGGTCTGGACAATGTTAAACGCATAGATTTATCAAACAACGAGTTAGAATTCATTCCACCTGGCTTGTTTGGGGTGCAACAACAGACACAGCTTAAAGAAATTATTCTTTCAAACAACAAGCTGACATCGCTACCTACAGATTTTTTCAAAATGCTTCGAATGCCAAATAAACTACCAGAATTTCCAATTGTAAGACTAGATAGTAATCCATGGGATTGTACTTGTGCAATGATTACATGGAATCCTCATTTAGTAAGTACAAAGAAGCCATCATTTGAAGCTATTTTTAAATAATAAAAAATAATTGTAACATAATTGGAAAAAACAGGTAAACAGATTAAGAGAAACAGCACCACGATGCACAACTCCTACAAAACTAAGGAATTGGGGAGTTTTTCATGCATTGCGCAAAGGTTTGCAGTGTAAAACTTTAAAGAGAAGGTACTTGAAGAAGTCTACAATGGAAAGAAACAATTATGAAGAGAATATCATTAGTTAGCCAACACATGTTCTTGTTCTTAATTTGCAATTAATGCACATGTATAGAGACAAGAAACAAAATTAGACAGTTTAATTTTCAATCTCTGTAAGGTAATTTTGACTTTCAAATGTATCATTTTGAATTGTATGGTAAATAGTAAAGTAACAGTTGACAATTCTATAGTGTCTATGTTCGAATTATAAAAAATAAAATGAAAAAACGAATAATATCACATACCTCTCAGAAGAGTAGCACAGGTACCTTTATAAATATTTCTAATTCCTCCATTTTTATAAAGTTGCTTCGCACAGTCGATAGGGCCATTATATTTAGGCTTTGCATTGCCCTGTTGTATTTGCAAAAGACACTTTATTCTTTCACCGGGAGTCATTATAATAGTTGTAAAGATGCCGCTAAATGCGCCAGCGTAAAATAGTTGCAAAGAAGATAGTTCCTCATTGTCAGATGTTCTTACTAACTGCTTGCCAAGTCCAAATCCATAAAAGCTTATGGCAAATACTGGAGCTACGCCGCATAAAGGTGCACCCATACCTAAAAAAAAAAGGAAAAGGAGAAATATTGTAGATAATCTATGAAATGATGTTCTAACAAGAAAAAAAAGTCTACAAGAGATATTTATGTATGTTTAAAGTACGTACTATCTACCAACCCTTATATAATCCACGTACTCCTTCCTTTGTGATTGTTTTCCTAGCACAATCAATTGTTCCATTATATAACACTGTTCCATTCGGACCTGGTACAGGCATAGTTTGAAGACGAACCTATTAAAGATAATGCATTCTTCAAACATTTGTTTTAGCAGAAGATATTATGAGCAATTTAAAAAAAAGAAAGTTAAGTTAACAAAAATTTCTGATAAATGGAAAAGAAGTATAGAAACTTCATTGATCACATATTTTTGCTACAACATATTTGAACTATATGTATGTCATTTTACTTTAATTATTAATCATCGCAATAAAAAAAAATTATAATTTAATATTCTTCTTAGTTCTCACGGTAAATATGAGAATACTCTGTGTAACAAACACAATGAATTATAAGCAATGATATAGAAGTTTCAAAGAACAAAAATACAAGAGATGAAAGAGGACAACGAAAAACATAAGCTTTCGAAACAAAAAGTTGTGGACAAAATCTAATCTGCACGCACAGTGCAACATTATTTCTTTTACCTAACATTGTCCATTAATAGGGCCAGTCCTCTTCGCAGAGAAAAACAGCAGGACTTCATAATCCTACTTATAATTAGATAAGGTACAGCTGAAAAATTGGGGATTATCTTTTACACACATTCAATTGTACAGAAGCGTTTATTCTACCCCAGATTTTTATTTTCTCTTCTATTATTGTATGAAAAACTACATTTTATTTAAACTTGTCATCTTTAAAAAAAAAAAA